TTCTTCATTACATTGTGACTTCTACCTAAAGGAGCTGGCTTTGCCTTCTCATATCTCTGCATTCCTGTTTAAGAGCCACAGTGTCACATCGTGTAGCATTTTCTCAGTCTGATGCAGAGGAAATAGTCTATTGACTCCAGGCCCTTTGATCTTTTGGAAAATTGCTTAATTCTTTCAAGATGAGAATCAATCCCAAAACTGCTATAAAGAGACTCCAAAACCAAAAAAAACCCAAACCCATTGTCATCGAGTTGATTCTGACGCATAGTGACTCCCATCGGGTTTCTGAGGCTGTAAATGTTTACTGAAGTAGATAGTCCCATCTTTGTTCCATGGAATGGCTGGTGGGTTTGAACCACCAACCTCTGGTTAGCAGTCAAATGCCTTAGGCACTGAGCCACCAGAGCTCCTTGTTAAATAGACTCCAGGTATTAATATCCTAGAATTTCCTATATATTACAGTTACCTATGGCAAAGGCCCTTGTGTTGCTGTAGGTCAAACAGGGAGTTGGGGACAAATAAAATGAAGACACAAGAGTTTCTTTTAAGCCTTTGGATTGTGATAAGAGGTAACTTAAAAGAGCTGAGGCAAGTACTGTGGCTTGTCTAGTCACATGTGGAGACACGAAGGAGCTGACTTGGAACCCACAACTCCTGACTATTGAACTACTGAAAAAAAAAAACAAAAACCAAATTCACTGCCATCAAGTCGGATCTGATCCATAGCGACCCCTCCTTGGGTTTCCGAAGCGGTATCACTATGGAAGTAGATTGCCCAACCTTCTTTCCGAGGAGTGGCTGGTGGGTTTGAACCGCCAGCCTTCTGGTTAGCAGTCAAATGACTTAGGCACTTCACAAGATCTAGTGCTCTTTAAATTGCCCCCTGCATCCTGTCTTGGATAGGCTCTAGTGTATCCAGGAGAATGGTATATTAGGTGTGAATTTTGGTGGCATTGGTTAGTTGTTGGAGAGAGGGCTTCATATTAAGCATTGTGTTAACTGATTATTAAGGGACTTTGGTGGTGTTGTGGTTAAGGCATTTGACTGCTAACCAAAAGTTTGCCAGTTCAAATCCACCAGCCACTTCATGGGAGAATGATGAGGTAGTCTATTTCCATAAAGACTGACAGCCTTGGAAACCCTGTGGGGCAGCTCTATTCTGTATTCTGTGCTCTAGGGGCGCTGTGAGTCAGAATCGACTTGATGGCAGTGGCTTTGGTTTGGGCTTTGCTTCCATGAAGATTGACAGCCTTGGAAACCCTACGGGGCAGTTCCACTCTGACCTAAAGTGTCGCTGTGAGTCGGAATGGACTCCACGACAGTGAGTTTGGGTTTTGGTTTAGCTGATTATTAGAGAAGTGAATGGGCTCTAGTAGAACTGAATAAAATCTTATTTTTTTTCCCCCAATCTCTTCCTCTTCTACCCCTTTGTTTTCCACCCCTTTCCCTTCCTTTTCCCCTGAACCATGGATCCCACAGGTTGGTGCCTAAGAAGATGCTCTTCATACAAATGACCAACTTCTACATGCGCGGCCTTGGGCTGCTCTTCCTGGTCAGTATTTTCCCAGAAACAACTGGTCAAGGTGAATCAAGACGACAAGAACCGGGGGACTTTGTGAAGCAGGATATTGGCGGGTAAGGACCATTAACGCTTGAACAAAAAAAAGACTGTGATAAATGCTTGCCTCAGTCCAAAACCTCTGTTTCCCCCCTCCGCCCCAAGATGACCCCAACTACTCTGGTCCCTGAATCTTGGACATTACGCTGCATTGGGAAAAGACTAATTAACTCAAACTCTCTAGGTGGAAAGGAGTCGCACACTCCCTACCCCACTGAAAAATCTGCTCTGTAACTTCTTGAAAGCAGTTCCATTCAGCCTTTTGCTTCTAATTGTCACTCTTCTCTTTTAAGTTTGCAGCTTATCCCTTGCTGTTGACTCTGGCCCATTAGCATTTCAATGTGATCAAGAACCTCCCATCTTAAAAAAGAAAAAAAAAAAATCTCCCTTTCTTCCCTTTCTCAGCCATACTTCTTAAAGGAGTACTCAAAAAAACCAGAAATCAACAAAACAACAACCAAACTCACTGCCTTGGAGTTGATTCCCACAGTAAATCTTTACTTCCACCTTTCACGAGCAGCTGGCGGGTTATGAACCACCAGCCTTCTGGTTAGCAGTCAAATGCCTTAGGCACTACACCAGCAGAGCTCCTTCCTGAAAAGAAGTAGTCTACATTATTGTGTCTACTTCCTCACCTCCACTCACTTCTGCACCCATTGTTGTGTGACTTCCTACTCCAAGGCCCTAAGGCAACTTCTGTGCTCAGGATCACCAGCGTTGCTCTGTCCTTATATGACTCAATTATTTCTTTAGTAAGAAGTGGCAGCAATCACAATGGTTGACGCCTCCCTCCCTGCTTAGCACTTTTTTATTAGGAAATAAAGCATGCATATAAAACCATGCATACGTTGCAAATACATAGTTTAAGAACCATTCTTTCTTTGATTCCAGACACCACAATCCCTAATGTCTTAGACTAGGATCTCTAGGATTCATGAGTGAGGAAGTGCTCTCAGGAGAAGCCTATAAGGAAGTAAGGGAACCAAGGTAGGGAAGGACTAGAAGTAATGCCAAGGTGCGACTGCATTTGACGTCTGATCTTAATTTGACCCCATAGGGAAATGGGGAGCATGATTGGCACCACAGATTTGTCCCAGTTTGAGTCCAGGCGTCTGGGCTTTTGCATGCTCATGGCAGTCAGTCATTGCCTGTGACCCCCCGGGAGGAAAGCATATCCTCTCGGGCATTTTAGGATGAAGTGGCTCCCTTCAACTGGTGGTGAATGGGGATGGGTACCCTGGCTCAATAAAAGGGATCTAGGCGTGGTACCAAGAGTAAATACTGTCCCTCGTTTTCATCATACTTTTAAAGCTGTGCTTTCTACAATATTTCCCACAATATTTGATTTGTGATATAAAAATATTTGCAATCTCTTTTGCAATACTAAAAATCTTTTATAATTTTTTTATGGAATCTTCCTTTTTTCATCCCTCAGGTGTTGCTGTTTTTCTTTTTTTTCTGTTCCAGGTGCTCTTCTTAACATTACCAAAACCAAAAACCAAACCAAACTCACTGCCGTCAAGTTGGATCCGACTCATAGTGACCCCTTCTTTGGTTTCCATGGTGGTATCACTACGGAAGTAGATTGCCCAACCTTCCTTCCGAGGAGTGGCGGGTGGGTTTGAACCGCCAGCCTTCTGGCTAGCAGTCAAGTGCCTTATGCACTACGCCACCAGACCTCTCCTAAGTGATTGCATTCATTCACTTGACATGGTTTTCTTTGACAGTGTCTCTCTTTGCAATCTCCATTCTTAACTTCTCTCTAGCCACCAACTTCTTAAAGGAGGCACGTACAAAATTAGTGTCATCATCTCAGTCTCCCTCTCTCCCCCTGAAAAACAAGACAAAACAAACTAAACGAAACAGAAATAAACAAAACCTCTCCTCTTTCATTTCCCCATTTCAGTGAAATGGACCACCGTGTACCTGGTTGGTCAAGCCAGAAAGTTGGAATCATTTTTGGCAATTTTCTACCTTTCATTTTCCATATGGAATCAATTACCAAGATCTGTCATTTTACCTCCCACATATCCCTTGAACTCATCTGCTTCTTCCAACTTTCCTGCTGTCACCCTAATTTAATCCAATGTTCTTTTCCACTTGGGCTACTGCAAGTACCTCCAATTGGTCTTACTTTCTAAAGTCTTGTTCCCATGCACACTTTGTAGCCGGAGTGTTTCTTCTGTAATGCATGTTGAGTCACATCTACTCTGTTCCCTTCAATGATATCCTATGGTCTCTAGAATAAGGTCCAATTCCCTTAACATGATTTTCTAATGCCCATTGTGACCAAGCCTATTCCTACTTTGTTAGCCTGATTTCTTGGTTCTCCTGCCACCAAACTCTATGTTCCTCATCTGTGTTGAACTTCTTCTAGATTTTTAAAATCCCATCCCATCCAGTAAATATCATGACAAGAAATGACCCCTTAGCCTTGAAATATTCCAGTATTTTGTAGGACATTTTCTTCCTGGATGGTGCCTTTCCTTCTTTTTCCATTTGGCTCTTGTCTCATATTCTTGGAAGTATCTTGAAGTAGGACTCGGCTCTTGATTATTTCTGCAGAGTTGATTATCTTAATGTAGTCTAAGCCTTGCCATCTTCTTCTATTAGCATCTTCATAATGATTGCTGAGATTGAGGGCTACAGAACTGGGCTTAAATATCCTTAGACTCTTGGTACATGACGCCCTTTTTGTTCTTTCCTTCAATCTGAAAACCAAACCGATTATACCCTACTAACTCCTTATGTATCTTATTTCATTGGATCAGGATAGAGGGTCAAAATAAGATGGAGATTCTGTAAATGAATCTTAATTCTGCAAGTGCCAAAGCTCTTCTCATTTTGACTCGGAGAACAAAGCTTGCTGAAACGGTATACTTGCTTATCATCCTAAGCAACACTTTTGAGCAGAATTGCCCTTTTGCGTGGTGAGTTGTGCTCATTGTGAGGAACACCCATTATGTTCTTTCTGTGTCTGCTGGTTTCTTGCTGAGTCTCCATCTTTCGTGTCTGCTGTCAGTTTTTCTGTGTGCATTATGCCTGTCAGTTTCAAATGTCTCATTTCTTTGAGTTTAGAAAACAAAATAGCCAAATCTTTTAGTAATTATGTTAAAGAGGAGTCCAAGAGATTCGGCTGAAAAAAATAGAGTGAAGTGTTTGATGACTAAAAGTTTCAAGAATTTAGAAACTTTTTTTTTTCCGGTTTGCTTTCCTCCAAGTTCAGTGCAATTAATGCTTTGGAGTGATGAGACTAACTTTGAAAATAAGCTTGACTTGGAATGTGAGGGGTGGCACTTTATTTGTATTCGACAGAAATAAGGGAACCAAGACAATGCTAAAATATATGATACGTGTTGGTAGTCCTTATACTTAGCCGAGCTGCTACTTCTTTCTGTTTGTTTTCATATCCTTGATGATATTTTTGTGTGGTGAAAAAAATCTATTTGCTCCGTTATTTTATCCACTTCTGATGGTTTGTTCAATTTAATCACCTGGGTTGACTGCCACAACAGCATCAACAATCAATAATGGTTTATTGACCAGGACTTTCAGTATGTGTCAGCAAGGAGGCAAGTTCCACACCTTGTTGTTTAGTGGTTCTGGGGGCAGGGCCTAAGAACCTGCATTTTATCAGATGTCCCAGACGGTTTGGATGTAAGGACTCTTTGTGCAGTGGTCTAGGAACACGTCTCTGTTTTCTAGGCGCTAACAGTGTACTTAGGGAGTGGGATTCTGGAATAGAACAGCACAGAAGGATAAACTCATAAAGATCCAATCTCATCTTCACTAGATACATGAAGATACTGAGGCCCAGGACAAGCAATTGACTTACTCAAGATCATAGAGCAAATGAATAGTAGAGCCAGGTCTAGAACATCAGGCCTCTGATTCCCAGACCCATATTCTTTTTTTTTTTTTTTTTATTGTGATTTGGGTGAAAGTTTACAGAGCAAATTCACTTTCCATACAGCAGTTCACATACACGTTGTCTTATGACATTGACTACAATTTACCACAATGCAACAGCTCCCCTCCCACTTCCTCCCGATCATTACCGCTTCCCTGTATCCATCCCTCCATGCACTCCTGCCCCCTGAACTGTCTCCTTGTGCATAAACAGCCCTTCTTTCTCCCATGATTGATCTCTCCAAGCAGTGTATCTACCTCGGTTAAATGTTCAACTCATATGCCTGTCTTTTGTTTGGCTGGAAGCCACAGGTGTGGGTTCAATTCCAGACCTGAAAGGCAGCTAGGGGCCACAGTTTCAGAGGTTCCATCAGGCTCTATTAGACTAGCAAACCTGGTACCCCCCTTTTTTTTCAAATAATTTTGAGTTTTGTTCCACATTGTTCTCCCACTCTATCCAGGATCTCCTACATAGATCCCCCTCTGAGTGGTTGACAGTGGTAGCTGGGCACCATCTAGTTCTTCTGGTCTCATAGTCGTATAGGCTGTGGCTCGCGTGATGTACCAGTTGCTTGGACTAATTGTTTCCATGAATCTTTGGAATTCCTCATTCCTTGCTCTGGATGAGGAGAGACCCATTGTTGCATCTAGATGGCTGCTTGCAACCTTTTAAGATCCCAGTCACTATTCGCCTAAGTAGGAGGTGGAACAATGTTTTGTGCCAATTGAGCTTGATGTCCCCTGTGACTATGGTCCCGAGCCCACAGGTCCAACTACTTGCTCCCTCCGGGTAGCTTGCTGTGATCAAGAAGTGACCACAACCTTGTCCCTTGTCAGCTCTACTATACACTTTGTAATTCTTACAGAATATAGTAATACACTTGTAGAAACATTCAGACCCATATTCTTGAGGGAATGCTACAGCAACAATTTCAGCTTCACAGAATAAAGAAATTCTTATAGTCCTGCTTCTTGCTCCAGTATTTTGGCCATCAGAAAATGAGAGCTATATACGTGAACAGTGTTAAATTCAACCATTATGCAATTGGCATTTTTCCGGGTCATGCTGGTCAAATATAAGCAATTTCATAATGGGTCAGTGTACAAC